AAATGACTCAGACGATTAATCACTCAGCATAATAGTTGCAGATTATTTTGCTCGCTATTTTCCATATGTGCTCAATAATACATTTGAATCTGAATGTATAGTACGTTTATAAATAAATGCATTTCTTTAAATGTTTAAATCAGGTTTTCAGCATCAGTATCCTGCAGAGAAACACTCAGACAGAAGCAGAGGCTCTTTTTTGCAGATCTGGAGGAAAAAGCGTTAATCTTCCATAAATCTGAGCGTCCGCGGCCGGCTGCCTCCACACATTCCTCAGGTCTTAGGAAAACTCATTAAAGCGCTGTCTGAGATAACCCCGACAGGTAAATTACACCCCCCCCCTCCGCCTCACATTCATCATCATCACCACAGGCAGCGGCAGGATTTTCTCCGAGAAACAAAACCATTAACATCCATCTGGAAACAGGAGGAAAACCACAGAAGAGGAAGAAGAAGAATAGGAATAATTTACCAGCAAACATACGATGCTTAACGTCCTTTCAAAAATGCTTTGTCTTCTTATTTTGAGGTGAGTTTTACACGCTATCGATGATTTAACACGAACAAAACCCAGGTTTTTGGGCCCCACTAAAATGTTGGACCCCGCACTGTGACTGTGCTAACAGGAGCCCCACAATGTGATGAAGACAAACATACACACACACACACTTCAAAAGGACAAGTCATCGCCAAAATGACATTGTTTTAATAATGTCATTATTTTAATATTTCCAGTGATGCTGGACAGTTCAGCCCAGGCATTCAATTACTTTAACAGGTTAACTTCCTTTCAAAAATGCTTTGTTTTCTTATTTTGAGTTGAGTTGTACACGCTATCGATGATTTAACACGAATAAAACCAGGTTTTTGGACCCCACTAAAATGTTGGACCCCGCACTGTGACTGTGCTAACAGGAGCCCCATAATGTGATCAAGACAAACACACATACTTCAGAAGGACGAGAGCATCGCCAAAATGATGTCATTATTTTAATATGTTCAGTGATGTTGCACAGGCATTCAATTACTTTAACCTAACCCTAACAACAACAGTAATAATAATAATAATAATAATACCCCCTCAGGCTTTGTGTAGCTGAACAAACAAACACAAAGCTCAGACAAATCCCCCAAAAACTGATTCATAAACAGATTAAAAGGGGAAACAGAAAATTAAATTGAGGTGAAACATGCAGGGATTAGTGTTTGGAGAACAGCCAAATATAAAGCACCTTAAATTAAAAGGTACTTCTGTGAAATAAGACAACAAATGAGGCTTTTATACCATGATTATAGATCCTGAACTAACTGTTGCAGTCTTTTAAATGATCATTTATTCTGTAGAAATCTCTGCCGACTGAAGAACATGTAAAAATACTCCATTACAAGTACAGATCCTGCATTTATAATCAAACAGAAGTATCCTCAGCCTCATGCAAAACAAATATCATCCTTTCACTCAAAACATCCTAAAATGTATTTGAGAAGGTCACTTTGTAGGAGCCTATAGGCTAATTGCTGGTTATAATACTACTCTAAAACGACCCTACTCTCACAATAAAACATCAAATCCACATAGTATTACTGATTTCTACTACAAGAAGTACTATCTGAAGTATTAGTATGCTTATCACATTGCAGTATTCTCAGTTTCTGATCTGCACGTTACTGCGGCGTCGCCTAAAAGCAGCGAAAAGCTTTTCAACTTCAGACCGTTTAGAGCCTCTCAGTTTCCATCACCATTAGAGCCATCAGCACACACACACACCCACCCACCCACCCACCCACCCACCCACCCACCCACACACACACACACACACACACACACACACACACACACACACACACACACACACACACACACACACACACACACACACACACACACACACACACACACAGTCAAACCTAAGCTCTGAGACTAAAGAGCCTGAAGTAAAACTGACATTGTCTGCTTATTACGAAGTCCATAAATTTGCATAACGTCTGCTGAACTTAGATATTCTTCCCCCCATTCTCTGTAAAGTGCTGCTGAATGGTAATACTGCACAACACACACACACACACACACACACACACACACACACACACACACACACACACACACACACACACACACACACACACACACACACACACACAGATAATGTGAACGATAGCGCTGATATGAGATCTGTTCTCTCCCTCTCTGTCTCGGCAGAAAAATTGTTTTACGGACTAATAACGTTAAAATGATTTGCGATAACGGAACAGTCTATCAGTTATTTTCAATACAAACACTGACATGAAGCCTCATTCAGACCAGACTCTGTTTCGTTCTCACCTGCTCTAGTGCAGGAATGAGTCCTAAACCTTAACCTGTCCCCTGGTCTGGAGGTCAATGGTTTTCTGAATGTGTTTTTGGCTTTTATCCTGAAATAAGGCCTGCGGGTAACACAAGCTGAAGAGACTTAACTAGCGCCGTGAGCTTTAACATGTTGATAGCAGTGAAAAGAGGAAG